TGTTTCAATCTTTCTTATCTGATAACGAAAGAAATGTTTTCTTGAACGGCCACATTTCATGATTTTTTTTTTGCATTCACACAAGTGTCCTTCAGACGACAGCCTTACGCTTTCTTCACCGATATTTCTGATGTCACTAGTTCTCAACTTGATATATACAATTCTGACGACACAACTATTTATCGCTGTCTTAATGGAAAATCCGGTAGTTTTGATGTGTTCGATTTAGCGGCTGAGCTCCAAAACGTACTATAATCTGGGGTAGAAATGCCTTGTTAATATTAACGCAATCAAAATTAAACAGCTCTCTTTTAAGCGTCTTAAAAAATGTTCCATTGCCATTCATGAGCATGACTGAGGCTATCATTCAGGAGAGTGACTTTATGAAACTTATCGGGCTGCTGGTTTCCGCTGATATGAAAATGGAAAAATATATTGAATAAATTACTCGTTAAATTGGTAACAATGTTGGTTCACTGTGCCATGCCAGACAGTTTTTTTCGCCAGAATCTATCTCACACAATAATATGTAACATTATTTGCCCTGTCTTGGCATCTCGAATTCAGTGACCTTCCAATCGCCGTAAAGTAACTTGCCTGTGCCTTCTTTCTATAACTATTTTCATTCATATTTATTCTGCCGTTTTTCTCTCTTTTTGTAGATAGACTTTATGAATTTAAACTTAGTGCTATATTGCCGGCAAGGTCTCATTATTTTAGAGTGTTAATTGTTAGGCTTACTCGTCTTATGCTAACATTATCTTCTTTTGCGCTTACCAATTGTGGAACTCTTGCTTTCCGCTCAACTTTTGTCTTTAAAAAATGGACGCAATGTCAATTGTTTTCTTGTAAGTAAATAAATAACTCGTGATTGACTGTTTTTAATATAAGACCGACCAAAAGCTATCTCGTTTTTGTTGTCATAAAAGATGAGTTATTTCGTCGTTTTTTTTACCGTAAATTACTGTTACCTGACATCTTAAGCAGAAATGGAAATTCGTACTTGCAAGCAAATCGAGAGTTGGAAAATATTGGCAAAACATCAAGTGAAAATATAAATCAAAAAGTTTGTATGGCTTAAATTGGCTATTTATATACGTAAAATCGAATGCATCGTGCTCAGCATCATTTTACGTGACAGGAAGTTCAACAGCTGGATGTAAAAGCAGATTGGAGTGAAGGACTGCATCGAAACCTTCGAAGAAGTCAATCACAGATAACCTGGCCATGACTAGATGGCGACCAAAGGCGGGTAGGCAAGACGACCTCACCCGATACCTCAGCTTCATATGGCCCAGTACGTTAGGAGAAAGGAACTGGTAGAGGTCAACCATGGAGGACTTCCTCGACGGAAATTAGAAAACCCTGAATTTGCATTTGGAAGTTTACTAGTTTGAAAATTAACTTCTGGCAATCACATTTTAATTAACTCTGTACGTTGCCGCTGTATATACAATAACTAATAATATATATATTAGTGAACGCCAAATGTAGTCTTAACTGCACTTATTACTAGTATTCAAAGCAATAGACAGTGTTTCACCATTTATCTAAAGCTTGATAGACAATTTCAGAAATAACCGTTAATATATCAGTACTTTGCCCAGAGAAGCCATAGTATCATCTGAAAGAAAATCCTGCAATGTGAGGTACTTAACCAATTCAAAACTGAATAGAACAACTAGTACGTAGTCGTACCTGCACCTATTACTAGTAGTAAAGATGATATATAGATCATTAAAATTGGTTATCAACCTTACTTATTGCTGAACTTATTTCTCTTTTTGACCTCTTCTTTGTGCCAAGCAATATGATAAAATCCAATAAGTCTTAAGCGTTTACTGAGAATGACAGAAACATAGCGGAAAATAAAACAGTATTCAAGGAGAAAGAAGGTGACGATTTATACTGAATTTAAATCATTGAAGATTGTATTTAATCGGAACAACCAGAAGCCAGAAACGTATTCCAAACGCAAGAAATAGAAGAAAATAATTGGTTAATAGTGTATAATTCTATTTAGCAATTTGAAGAGTGAAATTATGAGGCCAAAGATGCTAATCCACTATAGCTTTTACATTCCTGTTGAGGATATGAAGGTACAAAAAATAGAAAAAATTAGAACAATTACCATAAAATCTAAAAAAGAAAAATACAACACAAGGAAGATCCGTTACGGGGGTTGGAAAGTTACTGATAACATTGCAGATTCCTTTTCGCAATTTAACTTGAATCTGTAAATAAATATCAGAAGCAGAGCAGATGTAATAACGATATTAAATCGAGGGAAGAATGATATACGTAAAAATGTGTAAGAGAGATTCTGGTGAGAAATAAACAAAATCCAAGAATAAGACCGCACAATTGTTTCAATATATTCTTCACACTTCATCTCAGTGGAATATGTTATCCCAAGAAAAAGCAATGAATCACAAGTTACCAAATTGAATAGCAATATTTATATTGAAAAATACAATAATGTGGCAGAAGTCCAAAAGGGGGATAGGAGAAGGCTGGTCATCAATTTGTCTTCTATTAAAATCGTCCAGTCACAAATACTGACCCAAACATATTACAGCATACCTTACACCAAAACAACGCATTCTCACTTACTGCTCTTAGTTACTACTAGCAGCATGGCCCGGCGTTGTCCGTGCTTGATTCAAAAATCGTACGACTCATACAGCAATCGCTATCACTTGACTTAAAATATTTTTTGCCCTTCCTTGCCTTTAAAGGAGTGTCCTTTGCCATGCTGATGTTGCTACATACCTTACTTCTTGCCTATCTCACACTGCGAATTTTTTCTAAGCTCTATACTAAACATTAAATCTGTTACGAAAAAAAGAACTAAACAAAATGAACTCAAAACAATCAGCTTTAAAAAAGGACTCGTAACTGGTAAAAACGAATGGAAAAAGAATGTTAACAACAAATACTTTTTCACACGCAACCCAGTTCTGCGGAATTAGAATCAACGTTGAGTTTAAGCAATCGAATCTACCAATTGGAGTAAAGTGCCTTGCAGATTTAATTTTTTCACACTTGTGACGAATGCAGCTATCGATTTTTTTTGCATGCTAGCATGCTAGTTAACATTCGTATCAGTCAGCTGTTGGCTCTCACGCTGGCCAGTAGAATCTTCCTGCCTATTCGTGGCAGCCAGCTATAGGCTCTCACTCTGGCCGAGAGAAAGTGGCCGTAAACTACATGAAAACTGCCGTAGAAGCATGAAAACATCGATTTTTTCTACTATTGATGGGAGTTGGGAAATGCAAAGTCGGTCTTGGACTTCCCGCTAACTAGGAGCATGGGCATGTAAATTTTGGTGAAAATCCGTCGAAAATTGCGGCCGTGCATTCGTTACACACACACACACACACACACACACACACACACACACACACACACACACACACACACACACACATCCTGCCTTTTATAGATAGAGATGCTTACTACATCTCCATAATATCTCCAATCTCTATATAGTCCTAACTAGTTCCCATATGTACAATTTATCTGGAAGAGGAATGCTCATGAGAACAATTACCATGAAAATATTTATAGAAACACATAGTGAAGCTATGTTACGGCGTTGGGAACCCGACTAATGTAGCATACTTACCGACTATAATGGGCATGTCCCCTTTCACATAAATATAGTAGTGAATACTGTATGTTGGTCTCCAGTTGGAGATTCGTCTTCAGCTGTGCTGGTCGAAACCTCTGCCTCTGGGCAGAGAGGATCCCCAGACAAGGCTTTGTCGAAAGGCAGAGTCTCATCTTGAGAAACAGCTAACGGACCCCGTTTTATACGGACTCTTCTGGGAATTTTTGACCGAGCCTAAGTGCTTAATTACCACACATTAATTTTGGACTTGTACCACACATCTGACTGGATGGAGGCGGTTGGTAGATATCCAACAGTTGGAGATTCATTGTGGAATTCACTTGACTCACTTCTAACAGTTGACTATTTCTTCTACGCGCCGATGACGAATATTATATATATATATGGTTTTTGCCCTAAGTATTATCGTTCATTACAAACCCTCGTGTTATTATTCTATTCAGTACCCATCCCTAAGTTACAAAAGAGACTGAAACAAAGACGCTAGCTCAGGACATATAATGTTACAAGTTCATGTTTAGAACCTGTCAAGAATCACTAGATGCATTGCAGAAGCACAATGCAGATGAATGTTGGCAGCAATATCCGAGATACTTACGAATGGTAGACCTCAGTCTAGACATAGAATTACTGCACTATTTTAGTCTATTTTATATATTTTATAGGATAAATGCAATAATAAATTTAATGTCAATTGCCCCGGAAACTAACAGAAATCATGCAGATGAAAAAAAGATGTACGACATAATTAATTATAGCGTTTCATTTGTCATGTTCAGAATAATAGAAAGTATTTTTTTTGTTTTGTTATAAAAGGAACATTGCACAATATATATATATATATATATATATATATATATATATATATATATATATATATATATATATATATATATACCGATTCCAACGAAATGTATTTCAACATGACATTTCTTTCCCGGGATAATGTCAAACATTTAAACACCGACTGACATTGATTTAGTGAATTTCATAGAGAGCTTCCCATGTGACAGAGGAAAGCGACGCATGACGAGTCTCTGTAAATGTTTAGCAGAACAGGGATTTGGAAATATAGTTAAAAAAAAAAGACCAAAATTACAAAGTCTACAAAAGACATAACTTACGTATAGGCATGATCGCCTGAAGTGACATGGCCCATAGAAGAAGAAAAAAGGTATCGTGTGTGTGTGTGTGTGTCTCTCTCTCTCTGTGCGTGAGACAGAGAGAGGAAAGAGTGAGAGATGAGACCGTTATATTCTATCTGGTGTATAGGGCTACAAATTTGACGCGCTACTCTTACTATTATATTTTCACAAGTAATTAGGCTTAGTTTGCTAGCCAAAAAGTATCTAGTTTTAAATATAAGAACTATCATTCGCCGAGACTAGCCTTTCCATTTTTACCTGTCATTTTCTGCCTTAAATTTGTTCTGTTTTTTTTTTCTTTCAATGTTAAATTGAAAGAGGGAAAAACTCTGTTTTTTTCGATCAATTTCATTCTTCCTTTTCTTCTTCATTTATCCTTTTCTTCCTTTTTTTCCATCATTTTTTACTATTTATTTTCTTATTTATTTCTCTCATATCGCTGTTTTACTGTTCTTTATAGGGCTTTCTATCCTTTTCTATTGCCTTGTAAATGTAATTTTTTTCTTTCTTATTTCTTTCTTTTTCTTTCATTTCTTCTTTTATCCTTTCAATCGTTTATTCCTATTTCCTTTTCTTCTCTACCATTTTCTACTTTCTCTCCTTCTCTTCCATTTTATTCAACATTTCCTTCTCTTACATATCCCTCTTCATTTCTTTTTTTATTTGTCTCTTCTTTCCATCTCTCCCAGTTTCTTCTTCCTTTCCTTCCCTTCCATTTCTTTCTTCCTTCTCTTCTCTTCCATTTCTTTCTTCCTTTCCTTTTCTTCAATTTTCTTCTTCCTTTCATAGTCTTCCATGTTCTTCTTCATTTCCTTTCTTTTCCATTTGCTTCTCCATTTCCTTCGATTTATTTAATTTTATCTTCTCTTTGTTCTTTTATTTCGTTTTAACATCTTTCTGCTTTTATCAGTTTACACTTTTTTTTAATTCCTTTTTATTTTACCTTTGTATTCGTTCATTCTATGCATTCTTTACTTCTTCCAAATTTCAATCTTAAATCAAATTCCTTTCATGCATTCGGCTATATCACATTGTAACATCTTTTCCCCTGACGATCACCGAAATTAAGCAACATTGGTTTTTGTCATTTGGTATATGCTTGAGCGCTCGGGAATACCAGGTGCTGTAAGCTTAGATATACATGAAGTCTATTGGATGAAAACTCATATTTGTTAAACGGAGACTTCCAATTCCTTTCCGGTTCATTATATTTACTTGGGGAAGGCATGAAAAAGCTGTGAGTTATTTTGTAAGTCTTTGTCATCATTTTCTTTTCTTTTGTATCAAAATAAAAAAAAAATACAATGTAAAGGTATTTTTGGCATTAAATTAGCTTCAAAGGGTTAACAAGCCGTAGAAAAATGAATCAGTCATAAGACATGTTCATAGTTTTTATTCGTTCATTTTTCATAATACTTACTTCTTTTCAATTTTCTTCTTTTACTCCTCCATTTGTATTTCTTTTGTTACTTTCATTTATTATTTTACTTTTTCTTTCTTCCCATATTTTTCCTTCTTTCAATTTATTTTAGCAGATACGTCGTTCTTGTTCTTGTTTTGGTTTTTGTTGCTGTTGTTGTTGTTGTTATTCTTCTTCTTCTTCTTCTTCTTCTTCTGCTTCTTATACCTCCTCCTCTAAATTCTCGTTCTTCTTGTTCTTGTTCTCCTGTTCTCTTCTTCTTCTTCTTCTTCTTCTTCTTCTTCTTATCGTTTCCTCGCTTTCATACTCATAACTGTTATTTTTTTCAATTTTTTATTCTTCTTTTTCCTTTTTCGCCATTATTTCTTTCAATTTATATCATGTTTTCTCATTTTTGCTCTTTCTTTTTCAACCCGATTTTTTCTTTACTTTATTTTGCGTCCTTTTTCTTTTCTTCTCTTTTTCCTTCTTTATTCTTGGATTTCTATATTTTTTTTTCTTTATTTTGAGCCTGCCATTTCTACCTGATTCATTTTCCTCTCCTTCCCTTTGCCTCTTCATTCCTTCCTTCAATTTTCATCATTTTTCTATTTATATTCTTTTTCTTCCTCTCGTATCGCTTTTTTTACTTTTCTTTTTACTTTTTCTTCTACCTCATCATCATTATCTTCTTCTTCTTCTTCTTCTTCTTCCCCTTCTATTGCTTTGTTCTCTTCCATCTATATCTAGGCTCTATTTTTCATGTAGTATTGTAATAAAGTAACAAATCCAAGTAGAAGCATTATTTGTCGCATTCTTCTTTGGTGCTGAATAGCGTTTCGTTTATTGTGATGGATGGTTCCAAGCGAGAGGGGAGATGGGACATACTTATTTTAACCCACGTGTTTGGTTTCATTCGTTTATTTTAAAGAAGTTTTTTTTAATCATTTCACCCCAAGCAAATCAACAAAGCTCCTAATGGGTTACTGTACAAGAAAGAATACAAAAAAAAAACAAGGCATTAAAGAGCTAGAACGATAAAGGAAGAAAAATCAAGAAGACACAAGATAACGATTCAGATTGACTTTACTTTTTGCGGATAATACTTGGCTTAAAAGCAAGAAGCCGAGAGAGACTTTCACAGTTGAGAATTACTAGAAAAGAAAATGTTAGCATAGAACTTACATCTAGCTAGTTCCATTGTAAAATGATGAGAAATTGTTACCAATGTCGTAATTTTGAAATTCATAGATTATAAGTATCAGAAAGGAAAGATTCTCAGAACAGCTACCATGAATATATTTCTAGGAAAAGCACAGAGAAGTTACATTAGGGCGGTAGGAATGTGACTATAGCCAGGATACCAGGTCAGAACCTATAATATTTCAGATTATTATTTAGGTTTTATAAAGAATCTCTAAATATATAGGATGAGAAACAGATCATATAAGGCAGCCATATTTGAAGAACAGGCGAATTGTAGAATTATGGATGCATAAAATAGGCACTGCAGAGTAACATTTTCTAGTACGTAACAGTGAGGCAACTTTCATCGTAACAGGCTGAGCAATTGATTCAATAACTTTTATTTGTTTTTGTTATTTTTCTTTTCCTCATCTTATATCATTTCCCCATAGATCTTTTTTATTTATTCCTCTCATCGTATAATTGCTTTCCATCACCTCCTTTTTCTGCCTCTCCTACTCCTCCTCCTTATGTTTCTTCATCTAGGTCTTCTTCTTCTTCTTATTATTATTATTATTATTATTATTATTATTAGTCAGATTTTTTTTCTTTTTAGATATCTTCTTCTCATTCTTCTTCATCATCCTCTTAGTCATCATCATCTTTTTTCTTCATCTTCATTTTTATCTTTTTCTTCTTCTTCCTCCTTTTTCCTTATTCTCTTTTTCTTCTTTTTTCTGCTTTTTGTTCTTGAGTCGTTTTTATTGGCACTTTTCTCTTTTTTCTTTTTCTGCTTCTCTTTTTCTTCTTCTTCTTTTTTCTTCTTGTTTTTCGTCTCATTCTTGTTATTTTTCTTTCTTTTTCTCCTCTTTCTTCTCCCTCTCTTTCTTCTTCTTCTTCTTCTTCATCTTCTTCTGTTTTTCTTCTTCTTAGTCGTCCTTATCCACTTCTCTTTTATCTTCTTCCTTTTAAACATATATTTTCTTCTTTTTCCTCTTCTTGTTTTTCATTTCATTCTTCCTATTTTTTCTTTCTTTTCTTTTTCTCTTTCTTCTTCTCTTTATTTTTCTACCCCTTCGTCTTCTTAATTTGTATATCATTCTTTCCTATTCACTTTTTTACCATTTATATTTTTCACCCTTCCATTAATTCTTTCTTTTCTTTTCTCTCATTATTGGCATTTGCAATTTTTTCCTTTCATCCCTCCCTCTCTCTACTTGCTCTTTCTTCCTCTTCTCCTTTACATTCTTGTTTCTATTTTCAGTGGCTTTCTTTTATGGCAGAACATTTGGATATGTTCCCAGATTGATATTTCGTTTCCTACCCTAAACCCTGGTTCGGACAATCTTTGGACAACGAAACGATAACGCAGGAAGTCGATAATTATTTTTCAATGACCACATCAAAGCGTCCCAGATTCCAAGAGTGGATATATAATCAACTCCACTTCGTTCCATCCGAGATGAAAAGGCGAGATTTCTCCCTCAAAACACGAAACCATTAGCCAAAATCCAAAACACAAACATCGTGTATTTTTTATGTACTTTTAACTTAGGCTTAAATAACATGCGTGGGAAATAATGATTTGCAAGACTAACAATCATTTTACGCCAGTCGCTCCGGCTTACGGGTTTAGTTCAAGGAAGGACTAAGAATAAACCTAAAGAAAAATACACTAACATTTCCACACTTGTAGTTCTCTAATTGAAGAAAGGTGGCAACGTCAATAATGCAGGTCAAACGTAAGAGTTTAGAGCGTACGAAAAGCTCGCATGGCGTTATTTATTGCAGATATGATGAAAGGTTCCTTAAAATAAATACTCATAAAATTTGACTTCTCTTTGACTTATCACAGTAAATTTACATTTACCATGACGTATACTATTACTTGTATATGAGATGAAGACATGTCTAATTTTGGTGGAACGTGTAAGAACATGTAGTGGGAACAAAGCAATTGTCAGACCTACAAATGGTAAAGTGGATGTGTAGAAATTTTTTTTTTTTTTTTTTTTGCTTATAGCGCGATTATATAATATCATGAAAGGATCTAAGAAAAGAAAATTCAAGGTTTGGCGAAATTATTTCTAAAATGGCAATTTGAATGCAAAAATGAAGTATTCACGTTATATATGGATTTGAGCTGCCTGGTCATCACGTGCCTTTCTTGATAGAGTTCAAAAGCTTCTGTCCGGGCTTGTTGGTGATGAATTAATATCAGCGTCATCAAACAAACAAAATGTCGACAGCTTGATGCCATGATATCGCTATTTCCATGGCCAATGTTTTGAGGGATTAAATCCCTTGTTTCAACCAGCACTGACCTTTGCAGCTGGGACTTGCCGTACTTTTGTACATAAGAATGAATCATCAATTCTATTAAAATCTATCTAATTCTATTCATATCTATCTATCTATCTATCTATCTATCTATCTATCTATCTATCTATCTATCTATCTATCTAATTTTATTCATATCTATTTAATTATATTCATATCTATCTATCTATCTAATTTTATTCATATCTATTTAATTATATTCATATCTATCTATCTATCTATCTATCTATATATATATATATATATATATATTTATTATATCTATCTAATTATATATATATATATATATATATATATATATATATATTTATATTTATATATATATAATATAATATATATATAAAATATATATATATATATATATATATAATATATATATTATATATATATATATAAAATATATATATATATATATATATATATATATAATATATATATATATATATATATATATATATATATAATATACATATATATATATATATATATATATATATATATATATATATATATATATATATATATATATTTATATATATATATATATATATATATATATATATATATATATATATATATATATATATATATATATATATATATATATATTCTATCCAGATCTATCTATCTATCTATCTATCTATCTATGAAATTCTATTCATATCTATTTCTTTCAGTCCATTCTCTCCCTTGCTCTCTCTTTCTTTCTCTTTGTGTGCCTACATTCTTATGAGTACTGTGATTCGCGCATTTATTTTATTGTTCTACTAAACGGGCGCCGAACACAATATGCAATCAATTTGAAAAAAACAAAAAAAAACAAAAAAAAACACCTTTTATTTTTAATTCAATTCCTCTAATCCCTTTCGGTGTTGTTCTCTCTTTTTCGCCCTGTATCTTTCACTTGCTTTGTGCTTTATCTTTTCGTATTCCATTCGATATAAATATGATCTACTCGGACAGTTTAAAGGTTTATTAGCGCAAGGGTGCGATGGATAAATTGTTGTCTAAATTACACAAAAAACATCTTGAAATTCTGAAGAGTATATTCATTCAATAAAATTGCCATTGGCTTTCAGCCCGACGTCCAGGCAGCTACAGAATTTCATGAAATTCTCCTGGATATCCTTCAGTCATTCTGCTATATTACTTGTCTTCAATTCATCTTTAGTATTACGAGAAATTTTGTATTTGTCTATATTTCTGAGATGATGTATTGTGTACACTATTTACATTATTCGGATTATTGCCCTCATGTATGTTGCCATTTTTATCACAACGTTTCAGCCGTTGTACGCTCCGGCCTTCTTCAGTTGGTTGGTATGTCGAACTGAATCCTTTATTTCTCTCGGTCAAAGACACATGCCACAGTGGATAAAAGTGTTAGTGATATCCAGTGACAGGGTTAAAAAAAGAGTAAGTTCAATAACTGAAGAAAACGGTGGAAAACTTGGAGAGGGGAATTAACAGGAGATAACTGATAACTGACATCCATTGGACATGGTACGTGGAACTAAAACAGTCTACACCAGCGAGAGAAATAAAGGGTCCAGTTCGTCATTTCAACCATTTGAAGAAGGCCGAAGCGTACAACGGCCGGAACATTTTGAAAAATATGGCAACAAAGATGAGGAAAACAGTCGGAATAATGTAAATAGTGTAAGAAATTTTGTTTGTCTCTCGCCGGGGAGTTAGTTGGCTTGAAGTATGGGCTGATGTAGTCATAAGTGTAATGTGATCACAGAAATTTTCTAACAGTCATGACTGGGTACTCGTGCTTTTGTAGCATGGTTCAGAGTCCTGTTAGGAAACACAGGGTCTCCGACTATGCACCCTCTGGATCCAGGGCAGCATTAACTTCTCCAGGAAATTTATGTTGGACTCCATGTTAAGTCGGAACATCTAACCAACAAATTCTGGAGTTCTTTTCTCATCAGATAGCTTAGAATGAGTTTTCCGAGTTGGAGTACCTTCGTCATCACTATTAGACTAATCCAATGGCAAGCAGTACAGCATGCTTTTTCCAAATTTTTGGCGGAGTGAATTGTGTCATGGTGCACATTTTTTTTCTCCCGAACGGCGCCCGACTGACCCTTCTATAACCAGCCGTCGACAAAATCAATGCGGATGCGCGAAATAAAAAATAACAATGGCGAAAATTTACCAATCGCACTTTGTACTCAAGGCAGGATTTTTTCCAAACAGACAATGTAAAACTCTTCATGGGTTAATTGTTATCTTTCCTCATGATCTGCATTTATTGACTTCTCCTATTTTACATCTTTTAATCGGTATGACCCCATGGGAGTGAGTAAAGCCACCAAGACACAAGGGTTTCCAGGCTGTGGAAGAATTAGGAACAGAATCATTAATAATGAACGAAAAGAGAAAAGAGTAATCATGTTGAGTGTAAGTTCATACTCTCATACAAACCAAGTTCATACAAATCCACGCAGTGATTTGTGGGGTTGTTTTATTGGATAAAAATTAATATAATATAGAAAACATTCCTATACGTTCATTAAGCAGTTTGCTTCATGGTGCCCAGTTCTTCTAATGTTTTCTGTCCAAAGGTCGTTCGAAAAGTTCTAAAACTCACAAAGATGGAGTTGGATAAACCAGTTTGTCACTATTTTTCAATATAGCCATCACCACTCGACATCAATGCATAGAATTACGAAGTTTAAGCATTGCAGTCTCATCGCGAAAGAATATGGTGTCCTAGTCTGCCAAAAGATCCGCAGGGCACATCTGATCTCATTGTTTACAAAATGGCGACCACGCATGTGGCATTTGACTTTAGCAAACAGGAAAACGTCAGATGGAGATAATTCTGGTGAGTAAGGTGGGTGTGGTATCAATTCAAATCTACAGTTGACTGTTTCAGGTACTGCAATCTGAGCGGAGCGAACGAGCGCCTTATCATGGTACAAGTGCACACTTACACTGTGCTCCTCTGTGCTTCCTCAGGTTCCCTTCATTCTGATGCACAATACTGCCCATTAATAGTTTTTCCTCCATTTCTAGACAGTCTATAATGATTACACCTTCATAATCCCACAGAAACAGACGTCATCATTTCGCCAACTGACGTTGCCTGCTTGACAATCTACCGACGTATAGAATTAGTGTGTTCCACTGTTTGACTTGAATTTGATTCATGATCGATATGTTGAAAACCGGTTTCATTGTGATTAACTAATCTGCGGTGGAAATTTTCTGGATCAGTCTGGAAATGAGTCCAAACTATTCAGGAAATGTCAATTCTTTTCTGCTTCTACTCTAGTGTCAACATTCTTGGGCCCCATTTTTGCAGACAGCTTACTCATCCCGAAGATCTCAACTAAAGCAATTTCACCAAATCGGAACTAATGCCTAAGGATTTGCTATCTCCTGAAAAGTAAGATATCTACCATCAAAATTCATGCGTTGAATAGTAACAAATTTTTCACCAGTAATTGAAATTTATGGACGTCCTGAACGACGGTCAGAATCTAAACTCTCCCTACACCACTTGAGTTCCGCACCCATTCTTCTACTTTTATAGGAATGGGGTTCCTTTTCAGGTGTATATACAGTGTTCTTTTGAATTTCGTTGGGTGTTATAGATTTTTTGCAGATACTTTATGTCTTTATTGTCCACTTTTAGATTTCTCACTCACATTCCGCCTTTATATGAGCCTCACTTACACAGAAATTAGGACAGAAATCTGAATTAGATTCTCTAGTTTTATAAGAAGTGTTAAGGTATAAGCAATTTACATTGTTGGGACTGTTTTCCTTATCTTAAATGCCATATTCACTATGTTTGTGCTTTTTGTACGCCTCTTCAGGTGAATGAAATTTCGAATTGAACCATTTATTTCGTCCACCGGGGACTTGTCTCACCATTCTTACCTCTTCAGGATGGCTCAGTAGCAGTTATCTTTCTTTAACTCAACTCTCCAAGATTATGATCACCTCAAGTGTATCCAGGCATTGAACACACAGCACTTTGGATACAGTCCTTGCATTTAACCAAAGTTTTAATACACTTGACCATTGTCCTTGAGGGCACATGAAGTCGTAAATATAGCAAGGAAGATGAGTACAACAGTACGAACAATGTTAAATAATATAAATTCTTACAATACCTCATATCAGAAATATAGACATATATTAAAGTTATAGTGTCTTACCACAAGAAAAAATATTCATCAATGACTCACCTTTCTGGGTGAGGTTTAGAATTTTTTGAAGGACCCATGTATGTCTTGCGAATATCAGATTCCCCAAGCTCTCTTTCGCATTAAGAATTTCGTTTTGTTCATATTTATGCTAAAGATTCTTCGTTAAACACATATTCTGACCATGGTATTCACGGCTAACTTCTATAGAACATCTACGATTTCCTCTTGTCAGTTTTCATAAAATAGTAATACTATGTGGATAAATAGTCAAGTATTCACTGCCATACAAAAGGATTCATCTTGCATTGAAACTCAACATTATTTTATAATCTCTCTATCACCAAAGCTTTCGTGATTTATGGCAAAATCTTATACATCCAAAAATTAATGGAAAATATTCTGTTATTCCTATCGATATACCAAAGAGTGTTTTCAGTGATATGACTCCTATTGCAAAGGAAAATTGATTCTCTGTGTCACGCCAGAATATTTTTCTCAACTGAGTCCATCCATCAAATCTACAAATCAACCATTCGTTCTTGCATTGAATTCTGCTGCCATATATTATCTCGTGCCTGGCATTTCATCTTGACATTCTCGACAAATTCCAGATACGGATATGCAAAATTATAGTTCTTGATCTGGCATCTCGACTCCAGTCATTTTCTCACAGACGTGCTGTAGCTTCCCTCTGTCTTTTCCACAAATATTTTCATGGCAACCATTCTGACGTGCTACTATCACTGGTTCCCAAACGGCATGAATTTAAGCCTGCTACTAGGTTGTCATCTCGGTCCTACGCTTTCACTGTTGAAACGCTAAAATATAACTTCCTCTTCTACTTCAACAGATTTTTCTCTCGCACTTCCCAACAGTGGAACTCCCTTCCTCTTAAATGCTCCCCTTATAAGTATAATCTTACATATTCTAATTTAATATCAATCGACATCTTTTGATGCCTTGATCCCGGTGTTCTCTTTATCATCTCCTTAAACAAGACTTTTTACTCTTCCTCTTACACTTTGCAACCCCTTACGGCCTAGTGCCACTCCCGGCTTGCTTGCGTTGATATGCTCAAAAATGTAGGAAACTAAAATAAGTGTGTGAGTTTGAAACAATTGTGAAATTAAATTTACTTGTTAAAACAGCCAGGCTCAACTGTCATTAAATATGTAAATATGTAGCATAGATAAGACAAGGGATTAATACGTGACTTATTTATTCAATGTTATTTTTAAGAGACTTTATTTTATTAAATATTTTTTCTGTGCTCTGTGTCATGTAGACAAAAGACTTCAACTTAATATTTGATATAGTCTGATGAGCTTACAAGTGGAGGTCTTTTTTTTCGGATTGTTCGTATTTGCTGGATGGCGCCAAATTTGAGCGAGTTGAATGGCAAATTTCATTTGTTGTACTCATCAGAGCAGTTCTTTTATTACCATAGTCGCTAGCTTTTTGTGATATAGTTTACTTGTCAGGACAATAAAAGGTTTTCCAACAAGAAGTTAGAAATACTTCAAATTGACTTATAGTCCTCCGTGTTGCACTCAACCTTAGTAAACCCTTGCATCATATTGACTTTATTTTCTTTTTAGTCACTGACCAAATAACTAAAGTTATAATAAAACCCTTTTGTTTTTACAATAAAATTTAAATTGTCTGCTCTCATACCCTTTACTTCTCTTTATCTCATTTTTTTGTGTCTCACGCGTGACAAATTTGGTGCTCGTCCGTAATATTTTATAATATACACTTAAAGAATACACCAACATAGTCGGACTGGAATAACGTCTATGCGGAAGGAAAAAATTGGAACAATGCATTTCAGATTGTGGAACTAATTAAACTGCTCTATACTTCTAACCTGATTCCATGCACTCTTCATAATTCGTCATTTGTCCAGGATATCATGGAAAAGTGGTTTGCTGTTAAATAATCAACTTTGTCTAGTATTCTTGGAAACGTAGTTAATTTCTAGTGAGAAATCTTTTGTGCCATCAAACGAAGCCCAGTAAGTTGATTAATTAAATAGACTCAAACTTATCTGCAATAACTGGCAACATTTTCAAAGTCGAATGTATAACCTTATTACTCCTAACGTAGCATCTCCTCTTCAGTCATATTTCGACCGTCAGAAAGTACCATTCCTTTGCAATTTCTGTACATAATTCCTGGTAATCTTTCTATCAAGATGTTCTCTTTGATGACATGACTTCAGGAATTTAAGAAGAATTTTAGTTTGGCAATTAAAACTTGACTGTCAAAATTGGTAGTTCTAGGCTAATATTTTCTTCTGCCACATCTCTTGCTATTGGAAAGCTCTTCCAGCTTCCTGATTTTCTGTTATCTACCATCTTGAAGAATTTAAATACAAATGTCAATCGTCATATTCTGTCTTTTTGAGACCTGTTCTTTTATTGTCCTCTTTCTTTGTGCCACCCTTAGTAACCCATTTCATTTTCGTGGATTTTTATCGTAATTCTCGTTATGACGCTTGAAATCTCTGTTTCACGTAACCGGAAGATGAACATGACAAAACCAAAACACAAAAAATAAGCCAAGAAAAGAAAATTTGAAATGCAGTAAAGATTACATTTGTCGTTTGGAATTTTATTTCTTCGCTTCCCAATTCTTTGTTTTCGCAGCTGACGTTTCTTGGCTCGTCAATCATTCTTTTATTGTGCGGCCAAATTACTTGCTTTATTTTTTTTTTTCTCTCTCTTCCTTCTCTGTTATTCAATGTCAATTGCAAGGAACGGAACAAAAAGTGCATTGGAAAAAAAAAAATGAAATTTCCAAGGCACAAATTGGTCCGGGATAAAATCTTTATTTCTAAAGAATTTTGGATAGACCATCCAGGCGGAACCGAAGATGAATAGAGTCTTGTTTGCTAAAGGATTTCATTTTGACGCTTCTCTTCCCATCATACACTTGTACTGTTTCTTCCGTGGGGATATTTTTTTTTTTACAACGTCTTTTCTTTCTTCATTCATTTATAAACCGCTGTGTTCGTTTTTCGTAGCTTGATTGATTGTCTGATTGCATCTTTTATTTAATCTTGTCTCCTACACGAGTCTTTGCTTAAGTAATTTTGAAGCTTCGCTGTGACATTTTTCCTATTAATAGTGCTTTTATTTCTTGCACGATTTATCTCCTCTTTGTTCAAGATTTTTTTTTTCTAGTTTGGTACAATCAACTTTTCTACTCCGCTTATATGTTTTTTTTTTTTTTTTCTTCATTATGATTTTTTCATCTTTAGGTTTGTTTATTTTTCTTGTTAAATCCCAACCCTATAGTCTCCTTTTTCGTCTTTTACTGTTTTTCCTTCTTTTCATTTTCTTCTTTTTTTATTTATAATCGTTCATCTCGACTTCATTTGTCATCTTCTTTTTTTTCATTTCTTTCTTTCTCTTTTTAGCTTGTCTTGGTGAAATGATTATTTCTTTGTTCTCTCTTTCTTTTTTTCTTTCTTTCTTTCTTTCTTTCTTTCGGATTACAGATTTCCTTTTTCTTCTTTCAATTGTTTCTTTACGTTTTTACCGTCGTTCTCTCCCTTTTTTTAATTTCTTTTTCATTTCGAAAATTACCATTTTCCTTTATTATTTTTGGATTTCTGATGTCTTCATTCTCTCTTTTCTCTGGCTTTCAAATCTTTTATATTTTATTTCATTTCAGGCTCTATATTGTTCATAATTCCTTTCTTTCTATTCTTTTTATCTTTCATAGATAGTTTATTTCTTCTGTTCATGCTTTCTGTATTTCCAGCTTTCATATTTCCTTTTTCTCTTCTTTTATCTATAATTCATGATCGTTTTCTTTCGTTTTTATTTGAATCTTTTATAATTCCTGTCTTTCTTTTTCTTTCTTTCTTTCTTTCTTTCTTTCTCAATTTCATAATTACCTACATATTTACATTCTTTCATTTTTTCGTTCTTTCATTATTCATTTCTTTCGTGATTACGTTGTATTTATCTTTCATAAATCTTTCCCTTCTTTCTTTCTTTCTTTCTTTCTTTTTCCATGCTTCCCTTTTTTTCTTTTATATTTGCATTTTTATAATATATGTCTTTCTCTTTTCTTTCTTTCTTTCTTTCTTTCTTTCTTTCATAATTCCTTTCTTTCATTTTTATTTGCATGGTTTATAATTCCTCACTTTCTTTCTTTCTTCTTAATTCCTTTATTTATTTATTTCATATTATTTTTTTAATATTTAATTTCTGTCATTGCTTCTTTATATCTATCTTTCATAATTCCTTTCCTTCTTTTATATGTGTATCTTTTATAATTCCTTCCTACGTTCCTTCTTTCTTCGTTTTTTTTTCATTCTTTCTTTATTTCTTCCTTTTTTTCTTTCTTTCTTTCTTTCATAATTTCTCTGTTTCTTTCATAATTCTTTTCTGTCATTTTTTTCTTTCATAATTTCTTTCATTTATCCTTTTATAATTTTTCTCCTTCATAATTCCTTTCATTCATTATGTCTTCATATCTACCTTTCATAATTCCTTTCTTTCATCCTTTCTTGCTTGAATGATTTTCTTTCATTTTTCTTTGATTTTCTCGTTTCTCTTTTTCAGCTTTTTTTCTCTTTTTTTTTCTCCTTTTTCATTAGTTTTATGTTAATTAATCCTTCTTTTTATTTTATTTTCCAATTTTCAAGGGATCTTGGATTTGAGAAATGCTCTTTAGGTGATCATGAGTCGTGGGTTCAATCCTCAATTCGCACCAGATGCAAACAAAATTCACCTTTCATTAACCTAACAAAAAATCAATCAATCATCATATGCTTCCTTTAAATCTTGTTTTGGCTTCTTCCTATCAACTTTCTCTTTGTTACTTTCGCTCGTGTCTTTTCGTTTATCGCTTTCTTTCGTTTAATTAAAGTTTTTTTTTTCTAAACAATCGCTTATATATATATATATATATATATATATATATATATATATATATATATATATATATATATTACTTTTCTATTTCGGTTTAATTCTTCTATTTTTTTTAATTATGTTTTCAAATTCTATCATTCCACATTTCTTGGACAATCCACAAGGTTTCTCATCGATTTCTAATCTCATATCCTCCCGTAGTAATTTGAATGTTTCGTCACAATTAAACATGTCATCTTTAATATTCGACTTGTTTCTCACTATCGAGCAGTCGCTTTCTTCGCATCCAAATTATAATCAGGTTTAATCATCCGTTAAGTTACTTTTTTTTTCTTTCTTTCAATGAAATTCTTTTATTTTACTATCTTCTCATTATATTTTACTCAGTGTCTTTGTTTTTGTGTTTCCCTGTTTCCTGCTATCATCTTAATTTTTTTTTCTCGCGTTCTGCTTTTCATTCCATTATTCATCTCATTATTTCGTTCTATTTTCGGATCACTATGCTAACGGAAATTGAAACAAGAATGGACAATCAGAAGAAAAAAAAAAGTGAAATTTGTAATTTCTGTGACACGTAATGAGGAAAGTTTGCTTAGAGAATTTCAAACCCACAGGACATGTTGAAGACAGGCGGAGGGAAAGAAAACTCCTTGGGACATAGCTAAAAGTCATAATTAAAACGATGACAGATCATGGATTTGAATATCTTTATATAAAACGTGAAACTTTTGCTAATCGTTACTGTGGAGAAGTGGAACCTGGCAAGAGAGTATAAAGCACATTTGGTTTTACTAAGGTGTGCAGCTTAGTACAATAAATTCTCATTCATATTTTTGAAAAAATTAAAAGTTTTAATATCTAACTTACAAACATACATTTAAAAAAAATAACATGTTAATAATCGAAATATTTTGTATATATTAATGTTTAATATGCAAGAATCCAGTTCCCAGTTCTCTATGCGTTTGCGAGAACTATAAAAATGTCAGTACGCAAAACGCTTCAAAGAGTTGGAAAGTTGCTCCAGAAAGAAATATTTAAGCATGACCAGTTGTATGTTGCATTCTTGAGAGTAAGAAATCCTAAGAATTTATTCTTTGCGTTTAAGAAGGAAAAAAATTTCTTAAAAATATTAGGTCCTATAAAATCTAATTAAATTTAAAAAAATATTAAACCACAAAGTAGGTTTTCTGTCAATTCATTTTAAAAAAAAAATCACTTTATTCAAATTTCATCAACTGGTTTGCGAAATTGAACGAAAGTTTAAGTTTGTAAATCTCGACAAAAATGTTAGCGATGAATTAAAAACATTAAATACTATGAGGAATTGCAAAAGAATTCTATTATATTAAAAGAGAAATAATATTAAGAGATACAAAAGAATAGGATGTCGTGGAGAGTCATGATTACCAAAAGACTGAATGAATACAGCAAAAAAAAAAAAGAGTGACTTATGCGATGTCCCTTTGCCAGGCTACAACGAGGAGTCTTGTGTGCGTCGAAGGGAGGTTTAATATAACTAAACTTCCGTGCGAAAATTTTCGCCCAACAACATGAAACAAATATATACATTTAATTTCTTAAGAAGTTCAGGTTGTTCAACTATATGAATTTAGTAGTAGTATCTATGAGCGCTGAGGACTGGAAAATAAGTTGTTGCCTCTTAATACACCGCTTTAAGCCGAAAAGAAGCCATGCAAATATATTGAGACAATTAGATAATAAATTAATGATAATATACACATAACTAAATCGGGATATTTCTGTCTTATTAATAGGAGTGTAAGGTGCCTTGTCATATCATGCCATGATCGTCATTATCTTGATTTTTACGCTATAATCATGGTCAACATTTCTGCTGAAACAATGATAAACGGTGTGACTTGCAAAGGAGAAATAACTCAACAAGTGATATCCATGCGACTGGGATTTCGTAGAAACAATTTTTAAAATATCTGTAAGACATTTACTACGGGAAATGTTTTAAGTATTGAGAAAACTGGAAAACTACGAAAGACAGACAAGTGAAAAGGACATCAGTTGTCTTATATCAGGAAAAGGCATCATTAACAAAAATATCGGGATAGAAGTTCGACGTGATCAAGAAAGTTTCTTACACAGGACGCGGAAACATGGAAAGAAATCATCTTTATTGATCAATACAAAATATACTTAAATTCCAATAAGTAAGATAAGCCTGTAAAGAAAGAAACACTGTCAAATACACGCAAAAGACTGTGAAATCTGGCGGTGGGCACGTAAAAGTGAGGGATTGCATCCAAAGAATTTCTTGAACAAAATTGGTAAAACGTAATGGAAACTTTGACGGAAAGAATATATTTTATTCTGATATTGTCTTTGGCCGTAGTTGGGATCAGCGTGTCAATGCGAAAGTTCTTTACCTTAGCTATATATTATGTGCTTCGCCAAGCATGATACACGCTTAGGCGATCATGTATCTTTTAATACATGACTGACGAGGCAGATATTTTCCCGCAGTAGATTGCCATTTCTTTCTTCGGTAGATCAGTTGCCATCCAATGCTATAGAACCCAGTCTCTGCTGCTATTTACCTATATCTGGATGGGGGGTGGAGAAGAAGAGAATCCCTGCCTTTTCCCAAAGTTATTAGACTGTTTGTGAATGTAATGGATTCGACTGGAATTCGAACTCGGCTCTCCGAGTCGCTACCCATTATTACATAGTTTTCAATTCAGATTTTTCCTTCTCCTAGACCGGTTGCCAGCCAAAGGCAATAAAAGCCAGTCTGTCTTGCGATTTACTGAGAGCTGGATGAGGTTGGTTGAAGAGATTCATTCCTGTTTTTCAAAAGAATATTAGAATATAAGCAAATTTGATGAACTTAACCGGAATTTGAAGTCATCTCTCCGATTTCTCAAAGCGAGCCGCAATCTTTTACTCCGTTGTGAGCCTGGACAATGAAGATGAAAAAAAATTTACAGCGAGACGGTTTTCTTTGCACTTCATCAGGTGCAACAAAATACTTTCATGTGGAGTAAGGCGTTTGGAAGTATGACTCTTACAAATTTCAGATCTCAATATGATTGAATTATTGTGATGGGAAATGAAGAAAAAAGTGCTCCAACCTCATTGGGACCTCTCTTAAGAAGAATGAGGAACGATTCTAAATACAAAACGTCTTCCATTTAATGACGCATCAAACAGAAGAAACTATTTGAGTGAATATCAGAAATATCAATTACTGACTCCCTACATTGACGTCATGTTCTTCTGTAATAATAATAATCACATGTTACGAAATATTTTTGTCTTAAATCAGAAAAGCCCAGTATTCTGCATGACCTTTACGCAATATTTTTCAGATGCGCTGCCATAAACCATAAAATATTAAATAAACTCTTGTTTCCTAGGACGGAAACATCATAAAACTTACTGAGAAAAGCATACTACAAATCACACTTAATTCCGCGGTAAAATTTACAAAAAAAAACAGCATTTAAAAATCGTCATTATCAGGATCATTAGTTCCTCGACTTTTTAAATCGTCGTGGGGTTCAGAAGTTGGTGCAGAAGAAACAAACAACCACCCCCAGAATGATTTGCTCGCAGAGGCCCTCAGGAGTTCCGGCATTATCATGCTGTCCACGGCTTGTTGACAGACCAACACATAAGCTGACTTTCCCGCTTGCGTCCGCTACAACAGTGGCTAGCAAAAGACTGCTATACCGTGTGACGTTGCGAAATTATGACACCATCCAACGCTTAATAGTATCCAAAAGAGAATCCTGTCGGCCCACAAGAGTTTTGACCTAATAATAAGGATGTAATCAGTGTTTTCTTTGGCCCCAGTAGGAGATGCGTCAGAACATTATCAAGCATCTGTTCTCAAAATTCTAGATCTTTTTCCTGTCTCATCATCCAGGATGTCCAAGTCTCATACAATAGGTTTTAAAGACACATGGCACCCTGGTTAAAAGCGTTGGTTGAATCCAATGACTTGACCCAAATAGTTGTGACTTAAATACCTGGCTACAGCAGAAATGAACAAAAAGCATGGAGAGATGAGTTAAAGGGAAATAACTCATACTGAGATATCTGGAAGGAGCATGGCACGTGGAACTAGAAGAATCTATCCAGATGGACAAAGTAATAAGTTCGGTTCTAAATTCCAATCATCTGAAGAACGTCGGAGTTTACAATCCCCAAAAAACGTTGTGAATATGGCAACAGATGAGGGCAACATTCTGAACAATGTAAATAGTATAAATAACTATCTCTCTCAGTCTGTTCGTATCTCTCTCTCTTTATCTATCTATCTATCTATCTATCTATCTATCTATCTATCTATCTATCTGTCTTGCTAACTAGCTTAGTCTGTTCGTATGTACCGAGATCATTATTTCGTATCTATATGCAGGGTCAGTGAAAATTATGTTAGCACTAGTATGAGAGAAAGATACCTACCATACTAGTTCTAACATGATTTTGATTCATCCTCTCACACTAGTATTAAAATAATTTTGACTCACCCTGTATATATATACTTTTTCTCAGACTGTTGCTATCTATCTATCTATCTATCTATCTATCTATCTATCTATCTATCTATCTATATCAGTCTGTTTCTTTCTATCTATCTATCAATCTATCGCAGTCTGTTTCTTTCTATCTATCTATCTATCTATCTATCTATCTATCTATCTATCTATCTATCTCAGTCTCTTTCTTTCTTTCTATCTATCAATCTATCGCAGTCTGTTTCTTTCTATCTATCTATCTATCTATCTATCTCTATCTTTCTTTCTTTCTATCTATCAATCTATCCCAGTCTGTTTCTTTCTTTCTATCTATCTATCTATCTATCTATCTATCTATCTATCTATCTATCTATCTATCTATCTATCTATCCCAGTCTGTTTCTATCTATCTATCTATCTATCTATCTATCTATCTATCTATCTATCTCAGTCTGTTTTTTTCTATCTATGAAATCCTTCTATCTATCTATGTTTCTTCTATCTATCTATCTATCTATTTATCTATCTATCTATCTATTTGTTCTATCTATCTATCTATCTATCTATCTATCTATCTATCTATCTATCTATCTATCTGTTATCTATCTATCTATCTATCTATCAGTTCATATCTATCTATCTATCTATCAGTTCATATCTATCTATCTCTGATCATATCTATCTATCTATCTCTGATCATATCTATCTATCAATCTAAGTTCATTAATCAAAGATGTAAGAGGATACAAATAAAAACATACAAAATCGAAAAGTTTTATTGAATTTAATTGAAACAGACGTTAAATACGTTATCGCCTCCTTTATCTTCTCTTTCTTTTTTCTTCTATATTTTTCTTCATTCCTTCATTCCGTTTCTGACACAAACAAAACAAAATCTGCCTTACAATTTTTTCTTCCATCTTTTCCCGTATTCTGAACGTAATTGTTCATTATTTAACCAAGATAGTAACAGTGTATAACTCATAGGTTATAAGTTACTAACTAATGAAAGAAAAAGCAAAATTACCAGCCGAAAATCGTTTTATTACAAACAAGTAAATTCGCCGTTAAATTTTGAGATCAGGAGATTTTACTCATTAATTTTAAATTTAATTCATGAGCACAATGATTGCGGTTTCGTCTTTCTTTGATTTGAATTTCACAGATAAAATTACCATGTTATAGTTTTTTTTTTACAGATGCACCAAGACTGAACTTTCGAAATAAAATTAGGAGCTAATAATTCGCTTTCAGAGTTAGAATTCCAAATCTGCTATGAATTCTACTGGTTTCAAGATTATTTAGAATGTATTTTTATAAATCTTAGTACTGTGTCAACTCTACATCAGCACGCATTTTGCCTAACTGCATAAATGCTCGGAGAGACACTCAAGTCGACAGCAAAAACACTTTTACTTTGCCACATTATCCCATCCAATTATCCATTCATCGAAAAAATATTAGAGAAGTAATCGCTACCAGCTAGGGTTATTTTCTTAACTCTTTAAAGATAGAAAAAATTATTGGGAACATGCGGATGGCAAACGCATTTTAAAAGCAAAGCTACTGCATTAAGAAACTTGGTAAAAAATGAATTTAAAAAATACCATCGCTTATTTTGTTGATTTCATGTCATGTTCTTTTTTCAACTGAATTTTTTTTTTCCTTTTTTTTTATCCAAACCATTATATTTTTTCTTATTTCTTCAACCTGCTGAGAAACGAAGCGGTTTCTACTGTAATACGTGATGCATATTTGCAAAAAATAACGAAGAAATATTATTATTATTATTATTATTATTATTATTATTATTAATAATAATAATAATAATAATAAAGTTAATACTCATCGATGGTTACGAGCATCTGGATTAAAGTCTGAAACTGAAGGATTCCTTTATTCTTGCTTAAAGAAAGACCAGAGTCTTTTTCACTAGGAATTTTCAGGCAAATATCATACATAATAATGTGCGTGTTTTTTTTTCTTTTTTGGATCCAAAATGCAGGTTCTGTGAACAAATACCAGGAAAAAAATAGACCATCTAATCTCAGGATGTAAAATAAAATAAAATAAAATGAATATAAAAATCGTCACGATAGAGTGGGGCAATCAATACGAGTTTTACACTGGACAATAAATTTGCAAACACTTTGGAAAATGTGTAAAAAGCAAACACTGCAGTATGAACATCGGCCAGCGCCGGTTACAGAAATAGAAGATGTCACCATTCTATGGGATTATACCATCCACACAGACATCAAAAAAATTGAAGCAAATAGGCCGGACATCATTGTCAAAAACCAGAAAGAAAAAACTTGCCTACTAATTGATATGGCTTGTCCAGCGGATTGTAACATAGCAACCAAGGAATTTGTCTTTTTTTAAAAAACTATCAAAATACAAAGACCTGGAAATTGAAATAGAAAAAATGTGAAATTGAAAAACAAGAATAATACCAGTGGTAATAGGTGCACTTGGAATTATAAAAAATGGAACAAAACAACACATTGTTAAAAGAATCCCTGAAAAAAAAAACCCCCCTTAAGAGACATACAGAAAATTGTCTTATTAAGTACAGCTGTTAACACACACTAAGGAGAACTTTGTCTATGTAACGCTAGCAACTTCATCGGAGATAAAAAAAAAAAAAAAATTAACATGAAATGTGGCCATAACAACACACCACGACCTGCCTTATATATAGACATCTTTCCGCAGACTTAGTAGGTAGTGTGTCCATAACAGAAATCGAAATGATGATGATAATAATATTAATAATAATAATAATAATAATAATAAAGACCTTGAAAAAGAAATCCCAAAAATGTGGCACATGGGAATTCCTGTTGGAGATGGAGTCTTGAGATTGGTTGTAAAAGATACCAGTAAACTCAATGAAGGGATTCCTGGAAGCCCATGCCTTAAAGAAATACAAAATAATTCTTCTTACTAGTACAGCCCACACCTTGCGAATGGATTTATCTATGTAAAATAGGTGTGTGTGTTTGTGTGTGTGTGCGCGTGTTTTTTTTTCTTTTTTTGGTCAGTGGAAAATGCCATGGAACCATTTCTGAACTTAGGTTTCTTGACGGGATCCGGAAAAAATGTGTACACACTAGATATCCAAGGAAATAAAATAAAATAAAATAATAATAATAATAAATGCAGATTATGACAAGATAACTATATTGTCCTAGACTGCTTTTGCTACCCAATCTCTATAAGCAATCTTGTATCGAGTTTCCTGGTGTCAACATCCACAGAATATAAATTTCGGCATGACAAATAACAGCATTGGAATATATGCAACTTTTCGGCTGAATAAAAGTGCAAGAAACTGGTCAGAACATCACCCAGACCGTGTAACAGAGAGAGCATCTGTAACAAGTTCATGTGCCTTTACAATGCACACAGAACAATAATGGCTAATCACCCAGACATCGTGATCATACCACAAGAACAGACTGCGCTTCCTCATAGGCATGGAATTTCCTGCAGATTCTAATGTATCTTTCATGAGAGACTATCAAAATACAAGGATCTTGAAATGGAAATCTGATAAAAAATTGGCACAAAAGGATATCAATCGTTCCAGTTATAGCTGGAAATCAGGAATTGATTGGAAAAAGTTCCGATAAAATCTTTGAAGTGATCCCTGGTAGCTCATGCCTTTAGGAAACGCAAAAAATGGACTCACAAGTACATCTCACATATTACGAGGAGCTTTTCAGAATTTGTCTTTTTTATAAAACTGTTCAGTGAAAAATATCATGAAAGTATTTGTGTCCTTATGTTTCTAGTTGGGACACAAGAGGATATATGTATACAGCTGAAATAAAATAATAATAATAATAATAATAATAATAATAATAATAATTACGGAGATAGGACCTGTTACAATTCTATAGGACTAAACAATACACACTGATAAACAATCAGAGCCAATTGTTAATAAGGACCGCAAAGAAAAAAAATATTGTCTCCTTATTGATATGGCAGTCCCGGGAGACTGCAATGTATCTTTGAAGATATTAAAAAAGCTGTTAAAATACAAGTACCTAGAAATCGAAATCTCAAAAATGTGGCGCATGGGAACATCAACTATCCCTGTTGTATTTGGAGGCCTCGGATTGGTTGGAAAATATTCCACTAGACGAATTGAAGGGATTCCTGGAAGCCCATACCTCAAAGAAATACATAAAAGTGTTTTCGCAAGTACAGCCTACACTTTAGCAAGATCGTTATCTATGCAATATATATATATATATATATATATATATATATATATATATATATATATATATATATATATATATATATATATATATTTAGACAGTCTCTGGGGTGACTCTAAAAGAAATGTTTACACACCAGAAATCAAAGGAAATAATAATAATAATAATAATAATAATAATAATAATAATGCAGTAGACTTATTGAAGGGATTCCTGGAAGTCCATGCCTCAAGGAGTTACAAAAGATTGTTCTGACAAGTACAGCCCACAATTTACGAAGAGCTTTATCTATGTAATTTTTTTTTTGTCAGTGGAAAGTGTCATGATGCCATTTCTAAACTTAGGTCCCTGGGCGGGACCCGGAAAGAAATGTGTAAACGCCAGAAATCAAATAAAATAATAATAATAATAATAATAATAATAATAATAATAATAATAATAATGCAATAGACTAATTGAAGGGATTCCTGGAAGTCCATGCCTTAAGGCGAAACAAAAAATGTTCTGACAAGTACAGCCCACAATTTAAGAAAGCAGCACGTAAGATGTCGTGACTCTTCAAAAAATAAAATACCAATTAAAAGGAACACGATTTCGTTGACGGAATCCATGAGAATTCAAAGAGGCAGATGCTCCTCATAGAAAAAAGGAGTTCCAGGAATACTTTTATCAGTGGTAACGAACCTGGATAAAGTGTGTGTTTTCAAAAGGGGGTGTATTGATATGCCTTGTATTTTTCTTTTTATTACACATGTCCCGATACTTTTTTGTCAGTCCTCATACAAAGACCAATATATAAATCATGGCATCTGATAAGGGTATAGGAATCAAATTACACAAACGAACAAACATGCATGATATGATCACGATCACGAATCATGGACGGCACCACATTTATTGGACAAGATAACCTGGTGGAGCCGCTTTGAATTCAGTTATCATTGTCCTAGACTGCTTGCTACCCAAGGCTATGTAATCCAATCTCTCCTGTTATTTACCCATACTTTGGGTGGGTAAAAGAAAAGGATACATACCTTTCTCAAGTGCATTAGGACGTAAGTGAATGTTATCGATTCGACAGGTATCTGAATTCGGCTCCCCGATTCCTCAATCCGAGCCGCTAACCATTACTCCACGGTGCCTCATTGACCCAGCGTCATGGATAGAGTCAAGTATATATGGTGATAGGTTTTGATAAAAGAAATAGAGAGTCTTGTCCATCTACAAATAACTTCAGTCCATGTAAACCACTCCACTCAGATGCTCTGAGAAAGAAAATGTCCCTAATAACTAGGGTTTATTCCAGAATCACCTTGGCTGCCATAACCAAAAAATGAAACTATCGAGATCCCACTCCACCTGCACATAAGCGGATATGCAGCCCCTTATTTTGAAAGGGATATTGAATTGGCGCGTTTTAATTCACCACGAAGAAAAACACGTACTTGTTGACATCTCCAATCAAATATAAGATATTACTGGT